GTGAGCAAAAAATATAAAAGACTCATAATTTTATGACTTAACATGAATCTGACACGACACGACTCGATTGTTACCCCTAATATTAGACCAAAAAAATTTTTCTAAACAAATTAGTTATTTTTATATTTTATTCATCTAACCAAACACAAAATAAGGAAAATATATCATTCTTAATTTCCATTCTTGAAAGATAGAAAGTGTATCCCTCCTACTTTTCATCCTCTTTACTTTCCATCATTCCTACCGAACGGAGCATTAATTTTTCAATGTATTAGATTAGGTGGAAGTTAAGTACCTTTCATATTTCTTTTTTTTTTAAATACGTATTGAATAAAGATATTTTAGTCTTGTGTAATTATTTTTAACTCATATTAAAACTATTTAATAACTTCTTCGACCTTTGCGTAAAAATTTTAAATAACAGATATTTAGAAATTTAGAGAATAATTTGTATCACACGACATTGTTTGTTAGTATAAGATTAATTAGGGGCCCAAAAATAGGACCATCACGCAATTTGCCCAGTCCTTAATGTTTTTTCGTAATTTTACCACTAATTTTAGTAATTTTACATCAAAAAGATAGTGATTTCATCTCAAATTAATATTAAATTTCATAAATTTAATATTTAGTTTGAACCATTTTTCTAATTTATATTTAACTTCATCAATTTAAAATTTTATTTTATAAAATTGACACTAAATTAACCTTCAGTTTTATTTAATTAATATTCAATTTATTAAATTAACATCAAATTAATCTTTAATTTAACCAAATTAACATTCGAGTTTACTAATTTAAAATTTAATTTCTACAATTTGTTGTCAATTTGATAATAAATTGACCTTTAATTTCATTAATTTAACATTAATTTTCACCAAATTAATATTTCATCAATTTAACCTTTAACATTAATTGACTTTTTTAAATTTTTTTTTGGTAATATTTAATTTCATCAATTTATATTTCGAACGTAACAAAATGTTGAATGACAATTTAATGTTAATTTGATGAATTTTAAATTTATAATTTTGAATGTTAATTTAATACAATTGAAGGTCAATGTAATGTTATTTTTAATGAATTGAGTGTTAGATGGATAAATTTAAAAATTAATTTCATAAAATTACATGTCAATTTGATGTAATTAAATATAGGATTGAGATCAGTTCAACCAAAAAAAAAAGGCTCGACTAGTCATAATCGATCCTATTTAATTGGTGCCACTAGAAATATAGATTAGAAAATTTTTTTGACCATCAAATGCATTAAAATCGATCTCATATAGTCATGATCGATTCTAATTGAGAGGAATCACAAAAATAATAATAATAATTTGGATCCATAAGAGGCATTGAGATTGATCCTAAATAATTATGATCGATCATTACTATTGAAATGAAGTTACACCTTAAAAGTAATGTTACTATTTATAAAGATAAAATTATTATTCTTGAGATAAAGTTATCACATTTTAAGGTAAAGTTATTATCTTCAGAGGTAAGGTTACAATCATTTATAGTTAAGATACAACCTGTAGAGGTAAAAATACCATTTTTAGAGGTGAGGTTATAACCTCTGGAATGAAGGTTACAATCTTTTAAAGTAAGTCTGTTACTTTTAAAGGTGAGGGTAGAACTATTTGAGATTAAATTACAACATGTAAATGTAAAATTATCACCTTTAAAGGTGAGGTTATGATAATATATGGTAAAATTACTGTATTTGGATATGAAGTTATAACTATTTAAGAATATGTTACAAGCAGTAAAAGCAAAAGTACTACCTCTAGATGTGAAGTGATCTTACAATCTCTCTTGAGGTGGGTTTACAACCCTTTAAAATAATGTTATCACATTTAGAGACAAAATTATTACCATTATAGCTAAAACTACAATCTTTAAAAAAAAGGTACAACTTTTATAGGCAAACTTATCAGCTCTAGTAAGTAATATTTAATAACAAAAAATTGATAATCACACATTTTTTACGGTATGGTACCGAATCGGTACCAAAGCCTCTCCCTAAGATGTAACTCAATGCACAATTAACATTTGATTTCGGTCTTCGAAGACGTGGTTAGAATGAGGGTGAGTAGTCACCGGTTCTCAATCCTAAAACTAGTAGATTTAGATTGCTTAAATTTAACTGCAATGAATTATATTTTAATTACAATAAATATTTCAACATATTTACATTTTAATTACTCACTCACATTTTGATCACTCATATATATATATATATATATATATATATATATATATATATATATATATTTTAATCATAACAAAAAATTTAATTACCTAACATTTTAACTAGAATAAAAAATAAAAAAAAAGAGTGCCTTGTATGGGCGCCGAATTTTTCAGGGCTAATTAGATGGTTTGAGGGATAATTCATAAGTTTTACAATTTGAGTGAGTCAATTATAGTTCGATTTATTGATTTTTTTTTTTTGTTTTGTTTTCTTTCAAAACAAATTGTCTGCAGGTTCAATGAAGATTTCAAAAGATAGTAGACTACTTACATCTAAAAATCTAAATCAAACTAAATTAAGTCTTATGTAATTTATCAACAGATTTATTTACCCTAAACCCTTTAAGTTTGAATCGGTGTCGCTATCGACCTCCGTTAAACATGGTCAAACCATTTTAATCTATTTTTTCTTAACTTATCCTCAATTGGAGCTACTCTTACAATTTATTTAAAATAATCATTTATTATTCTATCATTTCTAATTTTTCTACACATCAACCGTAGCACTACGTTCATTTTGTCAATATGTTGTTTCCTAACTACTCAATATTCTATCTCATATAAAATTGCTATACTTATTGTCGTTTGATAAAATTTACTTTTCAATTTTATAAGTAACCTCCTATCACATAATATGTTAAAGGCTTTTATTGACCGCCTACAACAATGATCACTTAATGATTCCTTTAAAGAATACAACTAAGAAAATTACTAAATGCACCTTCTTTGACGTTTATGTTTCGCGTCTGTTCCAAAGCTTAAAATATATTAGAAAGGAAAGAAAAATAACCGTTAAAAAAAAGGCATAAGGAACTCATATAGATAATGGATGAGTCCCGCTTGAAAAATTCCAACATTCTACAGCTCAACTATTTAACGCAATCCTTCTTCTTTATCCTAACTTGGGATATGCAGTGTTGAATATAACATTGACGAATTTTGCTACATCTAAAAATCTATAATATAAAATAAAACATATTTCAATAAATTTATTTGACGATTTCAAATAAACTTATCCTGCGGTTACAAACATTTCTCTCAAAATCATTTATATTAAATTTTTTTCCTCATAAATTTATCACTTATAACTTATATTGTATCGTGCCTTCAAGCACTGATTAATTACCTCTAGTATACAAATATAAGATAACTAAAATCCTATGTAGCAAGAATTGATAAAGTGGCTTGAGTTTTAATAACAAAAATAATAATAAAAAACAAGACGTTAGAGTAAGAATAATCTAACTAGTGTTGTAGAAATAAAATACCAAACAAGAATAATCCAACTAGCATTGTAAGAACAAAATACCAAATTTTGGTATTTTTATCATTTTAAATTATTCGGATTTGTTCTCTATTTTTAGTATCATATGGATTTAATCGTTTTGTAATTTAAAACTAGGAGTCGTGGGATTAAATTAGAGGTATTTAAACCTTGCATTTGAATTTTTAAGGGTTAATCTCATTTTACACGCTAAAAGATTGTTCAAATCTCAATTTGCACCTTCAAAGATAAAAAATCTCAATTTGCACCCTCAAAGATAGAAAATTATATCAATATGCACCTAAAATTAAATTGATAAATTATACTTAGATCCACTCATGTTTGTCACTTAATCATTTGAACTCCTTCACATTTAGAATATTCCCCTTACATCTCACGACGTTTGTGCATGTATAACACATAACCACTTTTCGTTGATATCTGTTTTCGTTGATATCTGTTAATATAATCGTTAAAAAATATGATTTTATCCTAATAAAAAATTATAATTTCATATTACCTTTTATTTTGTGGATTCGATATACTCTAAAGTTGTAAATCAAGCTTACCATTTGAATGTCTAATAAAATGTAGATATTTATATAAAAGGTAATATGAAAAATATTATATAAATATTTATATTTTATTAGACATTCAAATGGTAAACTAGATTTTGAACTTTAGAATATATTGAACTCATAAAATAAATGGTAATATGAAATTATAATTTTTTATTAGGATAAAATTATATTTTTTAACGGTTATATTAATAGATATCAATGAAAATGAGTTACGTGTTATACGTGCACAAATGTCATAAGATGTAGGAATAGTATTCTAAATGTGAAGAGGTCTAAATGATTAAGTGACAAGTATGAGGGGATCTAGATATAATTTATCAATTTAGTTATAGGTGCACATTGATACAAATTTCTATCTTTAAGGGTGCAAATTGAGATTTTTTATCTTTGGGGTGCACATTGATATAAATTTCTATCTTTGAGGGTGCAAATTGAGATTTTTTATCTTTAGGGGTGTATATTGATACAAATTTCTATCTTTGAGGGTGTAAATTGAGATTTTTATCTTTGAGAGTGCAAATTGAGATTCGAATAATCTTTCAAGGTGCAAAATGAGATTAACCCAATTTTTAATTTCTATATATTAAGTCAAATACGACACGATATAAATAAGTCGGTGTCAAAATGCCTAACACAATTAATTAAATAAATTGAATTAACGTTGATTAATGCTCGACACGAACTTAAAATGATATTCCCTGAACAATTCCGCACAGACTCAATTGCCACTTCTATGTTTATCCCATTTATCCAGGAAGTGGAACTATAAATAGCCTACGAAAGCACTATAGTCAATACCAGCAATTGGAGGGAAAAAATCAAACTTTTAACTTATAAATCCTTCGCAACTAGCAAGTGTTCTTGTCATTCCCCTCTCCCTCGCCCCTCCACAGCCACAAAATGGCAATGTATGTTTCAGTTGCCAGCCAAAATGCCGCCCCCACTACTACCCGTCGGTCTGCAAATTACCATCCTAGCGTTTGGGGAGACCATTTTCTCAGATATGCTTTTGACACTACAGTATGAATTAGCTCGTAAACTCTTGTGTATTCTTCACTTGTTAACGGAGTTCAATCATAATGCATTCATTATTATGAGTACTAATTGCTTGTGCAGGAAATTGATACTCATTCAGAGCAACAACATCAACAACTAAAAGAAGAAGTGAAGAAGATGCTAGGCACCGTTGCTAATAAGCCTTCACAGCAGCTGAACTTGATTGATGCAATCCAGCGTCTAGGCGTGTCTTACCATTTCAATACTGAGATTGATTCAGTTTTAGGACACATTTATGAGTGTTGTACTAGTTGTGATAATAAAGATGACGGTGACCTTTACACTTCAGCCCTTCGTTTCCGATTGCTTAGACAACAAGGACATAATGTCTCTTGTGGTAAGTATCCAATTTGTTTCTTTGTTAGGCTAAATAATATGTAGCAATTAATAAACATGCATGTGTGCAGCGCATGTTTATGCGCCCTGATATGCAAAGTCATTTTACTGGTTCAATTTGTACCATTTTTTGATGTCAATTGTCAAAACAGATGTGTTCAAGAAGTTTAAGGATGACGAGGGGAAATTCAAGGAATCCCTCAACACTAACGTTCAGGGATTGTTAAGCTTGTACGAAGCAATACAGCTCAGGGTGCATGGAGAAGGTATACTAGAGGAAGCACTAGCATTTACTACTACCAACCTCAAGTTCTTGTTACCCCACTTGACCAATCCTCTGGCTGAACAAGTAAATCATGCTCTACAATGGCCCATCCGCAATTGCTTAACAAGGCTAGAGTCGAGGCATTACATGTCTATTTACCAAGAAGACAATTTGCATAATCAAGTAGTACTAAACTTTGCAAAAGTGGATTTTAACCTATTGCATAAAGTGCATCAGAAGGAGCTAAGTGGTATTACAAGGTTGGTCCATTGACAAAGTCAGAGGCTTGTCATCACCATTAACATATGGATTAAGGAAGAGTTTGGATTTGATACAATTGATTCTATTTTATTTTTACGTTTTAGGTGGTGGAAAGATTTAGACTTTTCGAGAAAATTACCTTTTGCAAGAGACAGATTGGTGGAGTGCTACTTTTGGATATTGGAAGTGTACTTTGAGCCCCAATATTCCATTTCACGAAAGATATTAACCAAAGTAATTTATATGACTTCCATTGTGGATGACATCTATGATGTATGGGGGACCCTTGAAGAACTTGTGCTCTTCACTGATGCAATCGAAAGGTCAAATTCAACCAATTTAATCAAATAGAACACTCTTAGTTTTAGATCTTATCATTCTTTTTCAAGAATTTTTTGAGTTGTAATTGACATATAGGAACTAATTAGTAACTCTATTTATGTGCACTACATGAGTAACAGGTGGGACATCAGTGCTTTAAATCAACTACCAGAATATATGAGATTATGTTATTGTGCACTCTTAGATGTGTATAGTGAAATGGAGAAAGAGATGGCCGAGAAAGGCAAAACATATTTGCGTCAATTATGCTAAAGAAGCAGTAAGTATTTTTACACTTCCTAGTTAATACCTAATTTGCAAAAAAAAAAAAAAAGACCTATTTTTAGACTGATGGACAAACTAACAATATGTCTTCTTCTTCTTTCCTTTTCTTTCCATGTTTCAGATGAAAAAATTAATTAGAGCATACTTTCAAGAGGCCAAGTGGTTTAATGAAGACTATGTTCCAACAACGGAGGAGCATATGGAGGTGGCGCTTGTTTCCTGTGGTTACATGATGCTTTCCACCACTTCCTTTGTTGGCATGGGAGAACTGGCAACCAAGGAGGTCTTTGATTGGGTTTCCAGTGAACCTTTGATTGTTAGAGCTTCATCCGTAATTAATAGACTCATGAACGACATGGTTGGACACCAGGTAAGAAAGAGAAGTTTGAAATATCTTATTGCAAAAACCTACTTGTCATAAGTTCCAATCTCCTATTTGCATAAAACCCAGATTTAATTGATACATCTGAGCAGTTTGTGCTCCGATTTTGTGTTGCAGCCCTAAAACAATTCTCCATTACCAAAAAAACACCTTTTTTCCTAATTATTTTGTCCTAATTCTTGTTTTTCTGCTGACTAAACTTTATGGTTCTTCTACATTTTGTAGCATGAGCAAGAGAGAGGACACGTAGCATCAGCTGTGGAATGTTACATGAAACAACACGGTGCTTCAAAGCAAGAGGCGTATGCTGAGTTTGACAAACAAGTTACAAATGCATGGAAGGATATAAACCAAGAATGCCTACATCCAACCGCTGTCCCAATATCTTTTCTAATGCGGGTTCTTAATCTTGCGCGAGTTATAAATCTTCTCTGATGAAGATGGGTATAAAAATTCCAAAACCAAGTTTAAAACGTATGTAACCTTATTTCTTGTCGATTCCGTGCCAATATGAAGATTCTACTTCTATTGAATAAAAATCCTTAATTTTTGTATGTGAAAATATTGTTACTTTTTTTTCCCCGTGTTCTAATATTGTGTAATCCTGCTTTTGTAATAATAATGAAAAAGGAGAAAAAGTATTAAAAATGTCATCTTATTTCTGTTTAATGGACTTCTATGTTAGTATGAGGAGTGAAAATTAACTCTCCCCCATACGCCCCTCTCGATATGATGATTCTCTAAGAATAAGTTAAGTTTTTAAAACCTTTCATTCACTTTAATTTTTAGTAATTATAGATTTTATTTTAAATATTACACAACTTTAGTGGCAATACGAATCACCCATTTAATACATAACGGTAATATTTTTAAATGTCTTTTAAGTTGACTAATAAATTCCATTTACACCTAGCATTTACTAATGATTTATTTTTGTGCCTATATAAATCATTTTATGGAGCTATTCTAAAAAACATATATACTGAAATTCATTCTTGAGTTTTCTAAGTTTTCCGTATAAAGCTTTCTTAGCTTTGTTATCCTGTCTTTCCAAACTTTGTTGAGTTTCCTAATTGTCAAGCTTTTGTCAAATCCATTTCAAGTACAAGCATATCATATTTTCTTGTGTTTTGGGTAACTCGATTAGTGTCAAGTTCACTCTTTCCTTGCAGTGGACGTGACCATTGAGAATGTGCTGTTGCGAGCGTCTGAGTTGGATATTGAAGTCGCTGGTGTCCGTCAGTACCCTCACGTGGGGACGCTTAGCTGTTTTAGGACAGTGATCACACTCCTCTCGGACTCGCAGGTCAACTCATTCCAAATTCATTTATTTAGTTGAAATAGATCACATGTTTATACATTTTATGTATTTATTTATTTAAATTGCATGTTATATGATCTAACTATTATTTGCATGCTTTATTTCGAATTTTAGATTACAACACTCATGATTATATTTCTCACGTCATAATTCTAATAATTTTTGAGTTGTTCAAATTATAAATCTATGCTTAAAACTATAATTATTTTTTACATTCTAAAGCAACTGACCTTTTTGTTGTTGAAAATAAAAAAAAAAATTTGAGGAAAAAAAAACAGTAGCAATTTTTCTGGAAATAAAACTTACTGTTTTTCTGAAGGAAAAAAAACTGTTACTGTTTTTCTGAAAAAAAAAACTGTTCTGTTTTTCTGGGAAAAAAAACTGTTACTGTTTTTCTGAAAAAAACTGTTTCTAGTTTAAAAAAAAAACAGTTTTTCTTAATTTTCTGGAAAACAGTTTTTCTGGAAAAAAAAACATGTTTTCTGTTTTCCTGGAAAACAGTTTTGAAAAAACAAACCAAATTTTGTAGTAACCAAATCTATCTAAAGGGTTGTATAACAATAAAAAAAAACTAGTAACTTCTTGCTTTAATAAAAAAAATATTGCTAATTGATTTGAAAAAAATTTTAAGACCTATTACAATAACTTAAACACCTTTCATAGTAGAAAAAAAGAATGTACTAACAAGTCATAGTGGAGATAAATTTTATCTAACTAATATATAGTGATAAAATTTTTCTTGCAAAAAATTTGAATATTAGTGATAAAGTTTATCCAGTAAAAAATTTGGAAGTCATAGAGATAAATTTTATCTAGCTAAAGTTTTTCTACCTAATATTTTGTGCGCATAATTGTTTTTAGTGTAATAATTAGAGGTGCAATAGAAAATCAAAAGTTTTTCGCAGATGCTGACATTTGTTTAAATATTAGTGATAAAATTTATCGTAAAAAATTTGGAAGTCATAGAGATAAATTTTATCTAGCTAAATATAGCTAATATTTTGTGGGCATAATTGTTTTTAGCGTAATAATTAGGGGTGAAATAGAAAATCAAAAGTTTTTCGCAGATGTTGACATTTATAAGTATTATAGACTAAGTTTCTAACAACCTTGAGGATACTGAGTTAACTCGGTCTCTTAACCGGGTCAAGATTACATCTCCCACTTATCAACATAGGTTATCCCATTTTTCTTACATACTTTCTTTTAATCTCCTGTAAACATTTCATTGTTCTCATAAAACTAATGGAGTGTGCGAATTGACGAAATCCATGTAGTAGGAGTGTTATATTAAGTCACCATCTAACTAACATAGCACGTCATTGACGAGTTATCGCCTATACCCTAGATACCTTAAATCACACGAATCAAGTATCATATATCCCTCTTCAGACTCGTCTTAGAGCAACACTTGACTAAACTCATTTGATATTTGTGTTCATGATTATTTTATACAACTAAGCACAATAATAGTCCGGGCAATGAACAACCAAATTACGTGTGATATAAAAAAACCTTTCCTAGAATCTCATATCAATCCATTTTGAATTGTGCACTTTCCAAGACATGTTCCATGTGACTGTATCTGTGGTGACATGCTAAAGTAGTTATTTCGAACCTCGACTTCATGAAATAACTTTGGGTCTAAGGGTATAGGGAATTTTAGAGCTCACACAGTGATAGAGAGGGTATCAATCTTATCACTCTCATATTTGGTTGACTATAGCACATACAATATGATATACATGCTACGGTGGATCTCTCACAAAATGGGACATGTCACTCTCAAACATTGTTAAAAATTGGGTCTAGTTGCCACGTAGGCATCTAACCTGAATTACTCTCGGCCAGCAACTTTCCACACGCTTCTTGAGTGGTCACATTCAGCTTTATTTAGGTTTTATATGGAATTGTGGAGGCATTCCACAAACGACTTACTTAAGTCTCATCTCGGTCCAAAACCAAGGCGACAACATTATAATCATTAATGCCTATTATGTAACTCATATACATATAGGCCATGATAAGCTCATTATACAAGCACCAATATGATCACTTTGTCTCATACTGTTCACTGTCTTAGCACTAAGGTGATCACCCGTGTGAGTGGCCTGATCTCAACCTGGTGACATTATTACAATTATGTGCCTCGTAAAAATAGTATCATTCATGCAACCACAAGTAGAAGATAAAATGGCAAATGCATGAAATATAAATATCCATATGTCCATCATACTATCCAAAGCAAATCAAATCCTACATATACCCAAACTTCTGACGTGAGTTTAGAAGATACCTTTAGCAATATTAGTGAGTGGATTAGCTACCATTCTAATAGAGGAGATATGCATTAGAACCACCTCTCCTTGTCTTACCATGTCTCGAATGTAGTGAAATCGTATATCAATATGCTTGGTCCTGCAATGATATTGAGGTCCTTTCCATATGATAATGCAGCCATGCTATCGGATCAAATCTCCACAGCATCTTCAACGTGGGCCACAATCCTTAATCGCTAAATGAATCTCCTCAACCAAACTGCCACTTGAACTGCTGCTGAACAGGTGATGTACTTAGACTCCATAGTAGATAAGGTGATCTTGCTTCTTGCTATACCGAGAAACAACTCCTCTTCCAAGGGTGAATGCATTACCCGAGGTGATTTGTGTTCATCTCTATTGCCACCCAAATCTGCATCGCAAAATCCTCTCAATTTCAAGTCCCCACCATGATAGCACAGGACGAGATCTGTGGTACCACAAAGGTAACAAAAAATTCTCTTAATAGCCTGCCATTGAACTGGTCTTGGGTTGCTTTGGTAACTGCTTCCCAAGCCAACCACATAAAAAATATCATGATGAGTACACAACATAACATACATTAAACTCCCTATTGTACTCACATAAGGACCCTCTTCATGATTTCCTTCTCCTTATTTGATCTAGGATAATGATCAAGGTTTAAAGTTCGGCCCTTCTCAACTGGGGTATCAACGAGTTGTAAATAGTGCATTTAGAACTGTTCTAAAATTTTCTTGATATAGGTTTCTTGTGACAAACCAAGAAACCTTTTAGAACAATCCCTTAGGATCTTAACTCTGAGTACATAATTTGCCTCACCTATATCCTTCATCTCAAAATCAAAGGATAGTCATTCTTTAGTGGCATGATCATCTCTATATCGTTTTCCAGTGAATAAAATGTCATCAGCATTATAGAGATAGGATCTAAATTCCCTGCCCTGTATGTTTGACATACATACAATGGTCTTCCTCTATCATAGATAAGCCAAATGTCATAATTGTTGCATCAAACTAGAGGTACAATTGTCTATATGACTGTTTGAGACCATAAATGGATCGTTTAAGGATGTCTGCTCTTCAACTATAAATTCGAGAGGTTGATCTGTATTGATCTCTTCATTTAGTCCTCCATTGATGAATGTAGTTCTGACATCCATCTAATAGAGCTCTAAATCCAAATGAGTTACTATGACTAGAATCACACAAATAGCAGCAAATCTCACCACAGGGGAGAATGTCTCTTCATAATCTATACCCTCCATTTGGGTATACCCTTTTGCCGCAAGCCGGGTCTTATATTTGTTATAATTGTTTCAATGAGCAAGAATAAGTGATTGGTTGTTGATGCCTTGCTAATGTTATGTTAATGTATTAGTTTATCTATGAATGGTTTTTGGATTGGGTTTGCTAATTTTTGGTCGAACAATGTGTTCTAAACTTTGTGTGATCTTGTAATGTTTGGTCCAATAGAATGGAGGAATTTGCATGATTTCTACAACTGTTCTACTTGACATACCATAGTATTATAACAAAATGTTCTACCATTCTTCATTCCCATACCATAATAAGGTTCCAGTACATTTGTTAAAACAAAAAAAATGCAAGAACCCTATGTGCATTCTTGCTGCTGTAGCAAAAAACAAAAAGCATCAACAACATACATAATACATTGCTGCAACAAAAAAAAAAAAACAACAGCAGCAACATACTGCCCGAATACTAGTTAACAAAAACCTCCCAAAACTGTCTTATGTGCATTCTTGGATGCTGGTGCAACAAAAACAAAAGCAGCAGCATCCCAGTAATCCCTAT